TATGCCTTGAGACAAGGGCTCCCCATTCCAAACACTCTGCAGATTAAAGCTATTTACACTGGTATTCTCACAGATCAGATATGCAGACACTGTGGAATTCATGTACAAATACAAGTAAGTATTCCCACAACTGGACACATCCCTGGTATATACATAAACCAATACATATACTCAAACATATGTATTTTTTTTTTTATAGCCACAGGTTGCACGCACCACTGTATCCAAGGGTACAACACTCGCGCTCATGCACACGCACACATTCATTGTCAAAGGAGCATGCGCACACTCCTTTGTACAATTGTATGTACAATGTATACACATACATTCAGATATATATGTATCCACTGTAATAGGCGAGCACTGCAGGGACCAGGTGCGGGTGGCCGTCGCGGTCATGCGCAGGCGCGGCGGGGATCGATAGCCCCAGCTCTCCGGGGGGACGCGGTGACGTCTGGGGAAAGTCTCCGTCGTCGCCTCGCGCAGGCGCGTCGCGGTCCTCCTTCATCCCACACCTCAGGGCCGTCTAGGTCGGGCGCATGCGCGCCGGGAAGCTCCGCCCCTCCAAGACGCAGCTCTCGGCATAAAGCCGAGTCACTGTAATTGATCGGCGTCTTTCCGTTGATCGTGGAAGGACGCTGATCAATCCAGCGTTCCCTCGCCTCAACCCCACCAGACTCAACTCGCCCTCTGAAGACTGCCACCACCAGCAGAACCGCAAGTAATCTGGGCTAGGCAAACTAAAGCCCCAGGTCTCCTATGCATAGCAATATAGCACTATCTGCATTGCTCTCAGCTGTCACTGTACCTTAAACTACCTGAACTATTGCATTGCTTTCAGCTGTTCACTGTGCCTTAAACCTATCTGAACTATTTGCATTGCTCTCAGCTGTCACTGTACCTTAAACTACCTGAACTATTGCATTGCTCTCAGCTGTCACTGTGCCTTAAACCTATCTGAACTATTGCATTTCTCTCAGCTGTTCACTGTGCCTTAAACTACCTGAACTATTGTATTTCTCTCAGCTGTTCACTGTGCCTTAAACCTATCTGAACTATTGCATTGCTCCCATCAGTAGTTGTACACTCCAACCGGTCGTGCATTACTGCCAAGCAATACCCATTCGTGTGCGGGTATTTCCCCATTCCCTACTGTGTATACGGGGCGTGATGTACCGCAGCCTCCCAAACGCCTAAGCACATACAAAACTGGGCATTCCAGGGAGGAGCTGCTATTCTGATTCCCGTTCCTTAACCCTCTCCATTCCGCAGTTGAGATCCATAGAGGGTATTCGGCCCTCTCCCGAGGCGAGCATTACATCCACCCATTTATGTATCCAACCATACTGTATATACACACATGCCGAAAAACGGAGGCGAAGGTGGTGGCTTGACTTCATCTGCAAAGTAAAATATTCAATGGTGATAACTGCGCTTAGGAAAAAGAACCTTTTTGTTTGTTTGTTTTACTGTAGTTGTTTGAATCAGTCAAATTTTTGCACTTTTCGGTGTGTTTTCGTGCCCAGGAAAGCGCGTTGGTGCCATACTTTTGCTCTAAGGTAACTTAAACTGTTACTAGGAACTTTACTCAGGTAGGACGCTCCCATGTTGCAGAGAGCTGAGATATTCAGTAGTTGATAGCAACTTTTGCAGCCAAATTGGGATAACATCTACTTGATATTTGTTACATGCTCCCAGTCACATTGCATAACTCCCGGCAGGAGGTGGGGTTTATGTAAATGAAACCACAAGTGATGGTGATTGCTACCATTTGGATGGGGCTGTGTCGTTCCTCCAAACTACATTAATGATAGTGAATGGGACAAGATATCCAACATGTCCGTTAGCTCCCTACTCCAGAAAGCAATCAGTGGAGTCAAAGGCCTCCCTTATGCATCCCTTAAGGGCCTCCCTTATTATTCAGGCCACTATACTGTCCTGTTTTGTCTGTCGGTACCACTAAACTAGAATACATTGACATTCTTCCCATAAATACCCCTAGGCAATTTTGAAGTAGCAAACTGATAAGCAGATAAGCTAACAGCGACTGTGGCAATACTTTTATAAATATAGAGGGAAAAAAGAGCGCAAAGCGAGAAAAGTCATTTTTGCTCTCTCCAGTTTCATAGTCAGGTCCTCAGTTCTCATTTTCAGAGGGCTAGACACACATTCCTCAGAAAACTTGTATTGTATCTGTCATACACCTTTGGCCACAGTTCATGCAGGATGATGTGGTGAATTGGTGGGTGGTAACACCACATAATTGAAATAAATAAGGATATTTACCACCACACTTTGGTATAGTGATTCTGTCCTTTTTCCCCGTAAAGCAGGGGTATCCAAACTTTGGCCCCACCAGCTGTGGAGAAACTATAACTCCCATTAGGTAGTACAAGGCTCTGACAGCCACAGGCATGACTTTCAGAGACCGATGCACGATGGGATTTGTGGTATCATCACCACCAGAGGGACAAAGTTTAGCTACTCCTGACATAAAGCAGCAGGCATCACAAGCCATTGTTTCAGGACCTCTCAGGATGCCTGGACAGGATTATCACTATACCAAGGTGTGCTGGTGAAGAACCTTATTTTCCTATAAGCAGACATTCCTGATGCTCGAGCGACTTTATGCATAGTTAGTGAATAGAACAAGTCTTGTATAGAACTGCACAATCCTGATGGTGCTGGACAAGATATAGCATAGAGGCTACTTGTAGTGATGGCAACAGATGGCGCCATGACAAACCAGAGATATACAGTAAGATAGGAAGCCACCTGTTTGTTTTTTGTTTTTTTTTTAACGTGGAACGTGCATCGAAACAAACTTCCCCCTGTGAACAAAAAAAGTGAACCGTGAAATCACAGCACACAAAAACGTGCACAAGGGTGCTTGGTCCTTCAAAAGAAGGGACCTCCATTCCCGACCCCCAGGGGCGCAAGGCTCCTGACAGGGCCTGAGACTGTTGGTCCACCAACCCGAAGGCCGGTGGACCCCGATCCTTTGGGGACCTGCCGAAACAGGTCCCTCACAGTACAAGGCAGGGGGCTCTCCCGAAGAGAGACCCCCTCCTGGGTGGGAGGAGACAGAGAACCCTATATCAGGGCACAGAATCTCCTCCCCACATCAGGAAAAGGCCCCGAAGGAACCTGCACCCGCTGCATCTGTGGGTCAAAATTTTAAATAAAAAAGGGCCAATCGTGCATATAGTGCTTAAATAAAGCTAAAGTGCCAGTGCACCACTCTGACAGGCCTTAGGGGCCGCCTGTACTCCAAGAATGAGTTTCCATGATTTATTACAAACAATGGTGTCACATAGGTCAATATGACAACATTTTGGGACCTCACAGGGCTTCCTTCCTCAGGGTGACTCAGTGACAAATGACACACCACTGCTTGGAATATAAAAGGTAACCCATGGGTAGGCAACCTTGCCACTCCAGTGGAACTACAAGTCATGACTCCCATTGGATGGGATTATTAGTTTCACCATACCTCCCGAATGTCCCTCATTTGAAGTGACTGTCCCTCATTTGGAACCAAATCCCTCTGTCCCTCTTTCATCCTCAGTTGTCTTTGTTTTGGTCTGATGTACAAATATGTTCTACCAAATAACTACCAAAAGTGTTATTCTGCAGTAAAACCTTTGTCTTATCTCTTAATTATCCTATGATCTTAATTATCTGGTTTGATATTTCAAAAAGCCAGTAAAATGGAAACGTAATGGTGGAAAAAAGCAATTCTGGGTTTAACCAATCAATTTTGGCATATATATTCTTAATGGTCCATATAACTGGGGGTGTGGGAAAGGTGTGTCCATTGCCTAAATACATTGTGCTGAAAGGTGTCCATCTTTCTCATTTCAGAAAGTTTGGAGGTAGGTTTCACCACAGCTGGAGTGCCGAGGTAGCAAGGTTGCCTAACCCAGTGGTAACCCATAGCCTCTAATACCCCCAATGATATTATAGTGGTGTCATAATCCCACCAAAGGTCACCCTGAGAAAGGGATCCCTGCGAGGCAACAATACATTATCTTATTGACCTACAGTATGTGACTCTATGTGCTTGTAATAACTCATGGAAATGCATTAGAAAATTGGTGCTTCCCATATTATAGCTCTTGAATGGCTCAATGCCTACTATATCAGTCCAGTAGGTATGTTGGTTCCATTACTTTCCTTGACCGGTTTCCCCAGGGAGGGCTAAACAGGCATTTTTTACCGCCAACCACATCCAAGTGCTACAAACGGTACACGCAGTTATAATTACACACACGTCAACAGGAGGAGAGTGTGAAGCTTCTGTCACACACAGCCAAACACACCATTAGTGACACGTTACATACAAAAAATAAGGTCCATGAGATGTCAGGATCATGGGGCAGGCTGTCACTCTCTACAACTGTGCGTCCCCTCTGGTGCAGAGCGTCGCTCTGCCAGCGGGAGCCTCTACGTTGGTTCCCTTAGAGGAGTCCCACGTTTACTCTCTCCCGGGAGGCTGTCCCTTTCAGAAGTTGCCTCCCTGGGTCACAAGTGCTTCTGTCAGTCGAGGGCTGTCGCCGTCTCTCTGCGCGAGTTCTCACAGTGTACTTCCTGTGCGTCTCTGAAGGTTGTAGTGCGTCTTAACTGTCACAGGGGTGCCTCATTATCACACGGGTATTCCGATTCAGAGGGAGGGGTGGTCTCAGGAAGCAGTAGGTCACCCATGGGCAGTCTTCTTGCAGCAGGGCGTCTATATATAATAGAGCAGCACTCTCTTTTTTGTGCATGGTGGCCCTTTTTTTTTTGGTAGCCTTTCTCCAAGAAGGCTTGTGTCTCTTTGCCACGTCTCCAACTAGGTTGATGTCTCTTTGCCATTGGGTAGGCCATATAGTGCATCACGGTAGGTCCCTCTTATAGTCTGTCTGTTTGGGGAAGCAGTTTTCAAATCCCCTGCTGCCAGTCCGCGTATCTTGGGTGTTGTTTTTTTTGTTTGTTTTTTGGTCACATGAAATATTTGCCCCTCGTCGAGGACCAGGGTCATATCTCAGAAGCACTGAAGTCATCTTGCCTTGTCCAGTCAGATGCCTGCAAGCTGCGAGATGACCTCCGACCCTGTGACTTCACTACAGGGTTTTGTCAGTTTCTTTCTTCAGATGACTGGAAAACAACAGCACAAACGGTGGACGGTTCTTAATCTCAATGTCTTATTGCAGACAGCATATCATCAAAAAAAAAAGCATGCAGACCTGACCAAGCAGATATAGTTCTATCCAAGTACACATTCAGTTCTTTTATTGGATGATAGTGTTCCTTTCAATGTCAACTTTTCAGAGAAGAGAATTGCCGCTAGGTACATATGTTGGTACTTCATACAAAATGTGTGGATAGCATTATGCCTTGAGAACAAGAATGTATTATTGACAAGGAGGAAAAAAATTGTGATGTCTGGGAGGATTGCCATGGAAAAGAAAATAATGATCGTATTTTCTCATTTAGATTTACCCTCCTTTCCTATTCATGACCCTTCGCCCGGCTGTGTCCCATACACGCGTGGAGCCAGCACAGGTACACAACAAAATGGCCGCTGGAATCCCCCTAACCAGTGCGCAATGTTGCTCACAGCAGCTTTAGAAGTAAGACCTTCTATAGGCTTAGCCCCACCTGAATAACACCAGAATTGGAGAAGGATGGTTGAAGTGCGTGGAGGCATGTAAGACCGTCAATCAGAACCTGCTGTTACGTCGGACATTTGTTGCCGCAATATGTAGTAGCTTAAAGCTGAACTCAAGGCAAAAAGCTAAATACACACATGAAATACAAATATGAGGTTTAGTTTACCTGCCAAGGTTTGTATCTCTGCCTATCCAGTCGTGAGACTTACACAGCTGTACCACACAGCACAACCCTGGCAGGGTAGGGGACCTGATTTTTCTCTGCTAAGGTTTGTATTTCTGTCTATCCAGTCGTGAGACTTACACAGCTGTACCACACAGCACAACCCTGGCAGGGTAGGGGACCTGATTTTTCTCTGCTAAGGTTTGTATTTCTGTCTATCCAGTCGTGAGACTTACACAGCTGTACCACACAGCACAACCCTGGCAGGGTAGGGGACCTGATTTTTCTCTGCTAAGGTTTGTATTTCTGTCTATCCAGTCGTGAGACTTACACAGCTGTACCACACAGCACAACCCTGGCAGGGTAGGGATCTGATTTTTCTCTGCTACAGTTAAATAAAGCCAACAGGTCTTGTCCCTCCCCCAGCGTGAAGCAGCAGATGGATGAGCTAAAGTCTATGCTCGCTCCTCATATCAGCACGCTTCTGCTCCTCAGCATATCTAATTGGCTCCTCGTGCTGCTCCTCCCACCCCCAGTCAGTTATAGGTAATTGCACTGCTTGCAGTAATAGAAAACAAATGTAATTTGTGTATTTTATATCTGCCCGGAGTTCATATTTAAACCACGGTGCTAGTTCTTGTGCAGATGGCGTGGATGAGTGCGTGGATGCTAAATTATTATTTCCTGGCAACCCCATGGCAGCATACATATGGTTAAAGGGGAGGAGTTAACCTATATGTATGCGTCTATGGGGGAATTATCAGGAAAGGAAAACCCACAGTAAATGATAATACAAGTTTCGGATTTTGTGTGATACCCCTCCTTCTGTACCGTGCCCCCTGCATGTGTCTTCACATAGGACAGGGAATCAATGGGGTCCCGGAGATATAAGTACTAAGGACATCTAAATAAAATGCATGGACACACAGAGATCATATAGAGATTTAGTTTTTTATTTTCTGTGATGACGAGGTGGAAGCGCACATTGAGTTGCTGCTTTGTACCTGTAGTAGTCCTCCTGCCCGGGGAGGGGCACTCCCTGCAGGGGATGATGGGTTTGCAGCCAGTGTTGCTGCTCCAGAGCCAGACGCTGGAGCTCGGCGGACTGCGCGTGCATGGCCTGCAGCTGATGAGCGGCGGAGAGCGGGGCGGACAGGGAGGCAGGGAGGTCTCTGTAGGGGGAGGCTGAGAAAAAGAGGAGACTGTCAGTACACCATTATCTCATTTTGGTACCACCAGAATGTTTAGAATTTACAGGTTGACTTGAAGGTTCTGCTCAGTGTGCACAAGCATCACAGAAGTGGTTTTTGTGATTCAATTATTGGGAATCTGTTCATCCTGAGAGGAAGGGGAGGAGGTCACATGCTCTCCCATACCTGCAAGCACCAGGTATCTCTGAAGGCTCCAACTGAGGAAGGTGGGTATCAGGAGGTGAGCTCTGCCCTAACACATACCGTCACTCGCTCACTTCTCGATCCTGTCCCTGCAGAGAGCTGTGACTGTCACTCACGGCTCCCTGCAGGGATTCCCCCCTCCTGACCTCATAGTTCTCCTATTAATATATAGGGGGGCTTCAAGTAACCCTCATTTGCAAATGATCCTCTCTAAAAGGTGAAAATACTTTTGGGTAAACTCTTCTTTTATCTGGCAGCCCTGAGAGTGAAAGCCTCACTCTCTGGGTTGCTCAGTTGCCTGTAGAACCTCTGTTTAGCTGCTGGGAGCAAAGAGAGGAAGCCCCATGTGATCTCCAAGTCATACATAGGGTTGAGGACTCCTGCCTTACCCCCATGTGACAGTGCTGGGCCAATCATCAAACACCAGTGCCTAGGTATATGCACAACGATGAACCCACTCCAGGCACCCTCATGCTCCATCCACTCCACTTCAGGTGCAGGCAAGCCCTGGACCCCATGTGTTATAATCCAAACATGGAAGCCACACACCAAGCTATGATCTCACCTAAACTTTACTAAAACTGCTCAAAAAAACAACGCAAAAGCTCTTCCCCTCTGATGCATTTTACCCCTAAGGTATTAACTGAAGAATCTACAATTACGCCCCTAGGGGTAAAATGTGTCAGAGAGGAGCTTGTGTGGCACGGTTTTGAACAACAATGTAAAGGTGGAGATTGTATCTTGGTGTGGAGATTCCGTTCTTTGGATTAAGGCAATAGCAATATCCTGTAGGGAGGCAGGTAGCATCTTAAAGTGAGAGTCTGGGGGGGCTGCCATTGGTGACCTTCTTCTCAAGGCAATAGCATAGTCACATGGAAGGAAGAGGAACGAGTCTTCTGCTACCCAAACCCAGAAGGACCAGGTATATTCCTTTGCTCGCTGCAGCCATATAGAGCAGAGGGGTAACTCTCATGGCAGTAGCATAGTCACATGGAAGGAAGGGGAGCGAGCCTTCTGCTACCCAAATCCAGAAGCACCAGGTATATTTCTTTGCTCCCTTCTCCCATACAGAGCAGAGGGGAAGCTAAGAAAAACACTGAGGATCATGTAGGGAGGCAGGTACCATCTTAAAGTCAGCGTCTGGGGGGGGGCTGCCATCGCTGACCTTCTTCTCCAGACTTTAGCTGACTGGCTATTACACTGACTCAGTGACCGGAGCAAGTATGCAGATCATGAAAGCCCAATTATAATACATTCCAGGTGCATCAAAACAAAGCTATGCAAAGTCTAAGCCCTCGTTCACACCTGAACGTTTTGTAGCGCGTTCTACGCTCGACGAACGCTCTACAAAACGCTCAAAAATATAAATCCCATTGTATTCAATGGTCTCGTTCCCACCTTGCCGTATTTCTGCCCGTCCCTAACGCGCTACAAAACGGCCCACGCCTGAAAAGGTACATGTACTACTTTGGGCCGTTTTGTTGCGCGTTTCCATTGGGATACAGCCAAGTAGCCTCCAGAAACGCGCGTTTGTCGCGCAACTTTTTTACCGCGAATCGCGGTAAAAAAACGCACGACAGACGCGCATATGCAATACGCCTAGGTGTGAACCAGGCCTTACATGTCAGTTTTCTAAAGTAGCCACAGCCAGCGTAGGAAAGCCAGTCCCCTGTTAGAATGCTGTATAGAAGGGTCCTTGCTCTCTGTGTGGAAGCAGTGATATCTCTGCAGAGGTCCAGCATGCCTCCTGATGAGTCTGACATATAGCTTTGCATTCATAAAAAAAATCACCTGCCCCCTGCTGGTTGAACAGCTCAGACCCAGCAGTTGGCATGTCAGACCACTGCAGGGAGACCACGGCTTCCACACAAGGCTACAATGGTCCTTCTCTACAGTATGCTGGCAGGGGACAGACTTTTCTACTCGGGCTGTGGCTGTTTTCTAAAGGAAATGAACTGTATGACTTTGCACACCTTTTGAACCTGGATTGTATTTAGCTGATTTAATCTGAAACTTCAACTTCAAAGTCAGAGTACAGTCAGAAGTCCTTATCTGCATACTTGTTTCAGGTAGGTGACTAGAAGTCCTAGAGACGGAGGGTCAGCATGACAGCCAGCGTTTGCAATATGAAACGTAGCAAAGGTGGCTTTCATGTGTCTCTTTTAAGACCCTGTCAGCACATTGTACGTAAAAGATACCTGTAAAATCAGAGGGCAGTTGTTTGTTGAAACGTCAATTGTTCCCTGACTGCTGCAAATATGTCACACTTCCAGGTGTGGGGAATACTTGCTCCCCCCACTGCACGCCGTGGTATCTCCTGCTGGATCATACATCACTACAGGATGTATGAACCAGAGAAAGGAACCACAGTATGCAGCAGGGGAACCAGCTATGCGATCCATCTGGCTGGTTGAATATTTGGCGCGGACGAGAAGCAGCAAAGAGTTGGCGCTTTAGCAAAGGGGCCGCTGTAAGGTAAGTATACGCTATATGCTTTTATGTAGGGTTGCACAGATACCAAGTACAGTACTCGGTACAAGTACGAGTACATGTACCGATACTTTTGAGCTCCAAGACTACACTAGAGAGAAAAACTAAAAAATTAGGAGGCAGCTGTCATGTGTAAGGAGCACACGGAGCTCCCGGGATTTGTACATCTCTGTTATAATGTACGATTTTGTTTTTATAAATATATATAAGGGATGCACCGATACCAGTTTTACGAGTACTGGTACTTGCCGAGTACTTAAAAGTACGAGTACTGATACATTTTTGTTTATTGTCATGTGACAGTTTTTCTAAAACAATACAGACTAATGATTTCAGGACAGTGGTGGAGCGCCAGAGCCGGGTCCCAGCTGCAACCGCTGCAACCCTGGTAGTTCTCATGAAAATGCCAAGTATCAGCACTGGTACTCGAAAAGTATCTGTGCATCCCTACTTTTATGTACAAAGTGACTGTGTGCCGACAGAGCACCTGCTCCAAAGCTGTAGATGTGTTTCCTATCGCCACTCACCGAATATCTGCTGCCGGAGGACATCACTGTCATGCAAAGGGTGGGGGATCAGCGGGTTGGGCAGAGCGGATGCCGGGTACGGGATCCGTGTTAGGTGGGACCCTGATGTGAGGGGATCCATTAATGGGTGTACAGCGGCAGAAGCTGAAAGAGAGAACGTGAAGAGAACTAGCATGTTAAAATGGACCTGTCAGTACCCTCACAGAGTACATTTATAACAATATAAAGCAACATTATCATATTTCAAAAATGCTCCACCCATTATCAATAATGCAGTCCTTGACCGCAAGTCTAGTGACTATGCCTAGGCTGAGATGATGCCATCAGTCCGCTGCAGGCAGAAGGAGCCATTTCCTCAGTCTCCTCTCCCCCAGTAATCAGATTGTACATTATAACGTTGTAGCAATGCCTGAACAAAGATGGCACCGTCCTACAGATGGTGAGGGCATTGTCTGGGGGAGTACTGTGATCTCTTTTAGAGGTAATAAATACCTGAACGTGTTAAACTTGCATTTTTACTGAGCATGTATGTACTTAACATGATAAAAAGAAATCTGATGCTGGGTTCACTTTAGGAAAGGTATTATTACAAAGCTGGATGCTGGTTTACAATGAAGAGCTGATGAACTGTAATACATAGCAGCCTGGCTGTCCGAGTCAGATGCCATAGCGACCCAGGCGGCCCGCACGGCATCAGGGAGATGTCCTGGCCGGGCCCCGACGTGCCCCGGGCCCCATAGCGGCCGCCTGGGTCGCTATGGTGATTGTTACGCCACTGCAAGAGACTATTTCTCTATCATCCTTTGAGGGATGCAGCTTGATGATGAATAAGCACCCTAGGTGGCAGTATAACCCTTGCTTGCTTATTATTTTCAAGCTGTGTCCCTCAATGGGCTCCTAAAAAAGGATTTTACTGCGAGTACAAATATCCTATTTTATAAATGGCTGAATTGATATTCTCAATTATGACAATTTCAGCCATTAATAAACTTGCTCTGGGCAATTTCTCAGTGCTTATATCTATATTTTGCTTTAACCACCCTCCGTTCGGCCTTTGTAATTTGAACGGCCGGATAGTACACAGCACAGGGCAGGTCACGTTTTTGTACAAAGGATTTTTTTTCTGTGTTGGTGCATGCACCATAGCACAGTACCTGTCGTTCCACTGTCTTTGGACATTGCAGATCACAAAACAGGGTACAGGGACAACGATAGTGGCTGTGTACCATGTGGTTGCTGTGACCAATCACAGCGATCACGGACTGTAAACAATAGCTGCGATTAGAAGCCAACTCTCCCTTTATTCTCGCACACACCAATTCGTTGTGTGAGGAAAGAGCTTGAGCTACTTCCTGATTGCCAGCCAGTACCATCCAGTACCGGTGGCAACCAGAATCAGTGCCTGTACAGCCAATACCACTGTCATCCAGTACCAGTGCTTGTACAGCCAGTTACAATGTTATCCAGGACCAGTGCCTGTACAGCCTGTACCATTGACATCCAGTACTAGTGGTAGCTAGAACCAGTTCCAATCCTTGTATAGGCAGTACCAGTGTCATCCAGTGCCAGCTAGAACCAGTGCCTGTACAACCAATACCAGTACCAACTAGAGCAAGTGCCTATGTAGCCTGTACCATTGTCATCCAGTACCACTGCCTGTGCAGCCAGTACCAGTGCCTGTACAGCTAGTACCAGTACCATCCAGTACCAGCTAGAACCAGAGCCTGTACAGCTAGTACCAGTGTCATCCAGTACCAGAGCCTGTACAGCCAGTACCAGTGTCATCCAGGACTATTTCCTGTACAGCCAAAACCAGTGCCAGCTAGAACCAGCCTCTGTACAGCCAGTACCAGTGTCATCCAGTACTATTTCCTGTACAGCCAGTACCAGTGTCATCCAGTACCAGTGCCAGCTAGAACCAGTGCCCGTACAGCCAGTATCAGTGTCATCCAGTACTAGTTCCTGTACAAGTACCAGTGTCATCCAGAACCAGCTAGAACCAGTGCCTGTACAGCCAGTACCAGTGTCATCCAGTACCAGCTAGAACCAGTGCCTGTACAGCCAGTACCAGTGTCATCCAGTACCAGTGCCAGCTAGAACCAGTGCCTGTACAGCCAGTACCAGTGTCATCCAGTACTAGTACCTGTACAGCCAGTAACAGTGTCATCCAGTACCAGCTAGAACCAGCGCCTGTACAGCCAGTACAAGTGTCATCCAGTACTAGTTCTTCAACAATCAGTACCAGTTCCTGTATAGCCAGTACCAGTGTCATCCAGTACTAGTTCTTCAACAATCAGTACCAGTTCCTGTATAGCCAGTACCAGTGCCTGTGCATTGATGCAAAATCTGGTTTAAAAACCAAAGCAATGTTTTGCATTTCTCCACCTACTAACCTAAACTCAGCAATACCCCTTATTTTTGGATCTATTATGGAAGCAGAGAAGCAAATACGTTCTGTTTTAAGACGTCTCTACTGCTTTTAGGGAGGGCTCATTGTTTCTTTCAATCATTCTATGATTTATTCATTTTCTAAGATGTAAAACTGAGCTTCCATCTTGTGCTCACCTGCATGGATGGCGTCCTGTTGGTGCAGGTGTAGGTGTGAGTGAATGTGTGAGTGCTGATGATGGTGAGGGGTCACGTTCAGCATCTGAAGCCTGGTCAGTGGATCTCCGCTCAAAGCCGCCACTCTTTCAGCGTGCTGTCGTTCTGCGGCAAGGCGCTCCGCATAGGAAAGTTCCCCTCGGGCACCTCCAGCTGCTCCACCTGCTCCTGGTCCAGCCCCGGGACCTGCGCCGGCAGCCCCCAATGCCAGCCTCTCCCTTTCGAGGGCGTGTTGGTGCGCGTGCTGCCCATGGTGGTAGGGGAAGGCCGGGTGCAGTCCCATCTGAGGATTTACTCCGGCAGCTGAGGGGGGTGGTTGAGGTGGAGGGGCGTGATGCTGCGGCGGTGGTGGAAGAGGCAGGGTAGCGGGGTGAAGCGGGTCCAGCTCTCCAGGTTTTACTTCATATCCCGGTTTCAGCCTCTCTCGCAGCTCTCGTTCTGCACGAGTTGGGTCGCTGGCGAACACGGCAGGCAGGTTGTAGGCAAGCAGCGGGTCTCCAAGGGGTAAGTAAAAAGGGTGATGCGGGGGGTGGCCGGGCTGGGGTGCTCGTCCGGCCGGTGAGAGGACGTGGGGGCGAGCGTACTCGCTGAGTGTGCGAAGGGCTGGGGTGTCAGGACCCAAGTAAGGGGGCACAGCTGCCACGGCTCCCGGTGGCTCGAAGTGAGGAGGACGTGAGGGGGCAGAGGATGGGGAGGGCAACGCTAAGGAAGGGTGATGGGAAGGCGGTTGTGGGCACAGCTGAGGGCATTCATGAGGGCGAGAGTCCAGTTTCTGAAAAAGACATAAAAATACACTTTATCCAAAAAATGCTTTACAGAGAATCAGCCAGTAAACCAGAAATGTTCCAAAAAATTGAGCCGAGCAAGTTTAATTCCTTTGGAGTGTTATACAGTATGAAAACTTTTTAATAAACAAATTAAATAAACGGTATAAACATACTCACAAAGGACGAATAAAAACAGGCATAAAAGGGTCAGAACGAAAGGTGCATATCCACCGGCTGTTCGTCTTCGCTAGTAGTGAAGTGGTTTACGCGTTTCAGAGGTCACGCCTCCTTCCTCAGAACCAATTGTTGGAACACTCCCATTTGGTTCTGATGAAGGAGGCGTGACCTCTGAAACGCGTAAACCACTTCACTACCAGGGAAGACGAACAGCCGGTGGATATGCACCTTTCGTTCTGACCCTTTTATGCCTGTTTTTATTCGTCCTTTGTGAGTATGTTTATACCATTTTTTTATTCGTTTATTAAAACGTTTTTATGCAATGGAGGCGCTCTCTGTGTCTTGTCTTGCAGTGCTGAGGTTGTTCTGAACCTGGTGAGAGACGCCCCGTAATCGCCCTGCACTCCTGAACATCATTGATTAATACTCTCTTGAACCAAAATCTGCTGGCGCGGTGTTTGATTCTGTCTGCTGTTATACAGTATATCTATTTACCTTAAAGCCAGATTCAGCAGGCCTTCCACTGTGGTTCTGGGTGGTACTGCAGACTCTTATCATGTAAATCTGTGCAGTGCAACCTCCCTCTCATTCTCCACTGTGTGTGATACAGACTGTGGCTTAGAGTCGTTCTTACAAACAGGAAACACTGGCCTGCATTGGTTCAGATTGAGGGCCATTCAGAATGGCCAGCTGTCTCTTCATCTCTGCCACCTGGCAGGTCGGAGCTCTCTGTTCTTAAATACCTGACCTGTCCAACCTGGCATCATGTAACGTGACACTATCCGAGGTGCAGATAGGGGTGACCATACATGTGAAAGGGTCACACGCCCCAGCTTTGTCCTAACTTTCCATTTATCAAAACAATAGCTCTATAGAATCCTACATACGGACAACATTAAGTAAAAATGATGATATGCAGCATAAACCTAGAAACTGAACCCCACGGAGTCTCACTTACAATATTCCTCTCCATCTCCCGCTCCCGCTCCCTCTCCCGCTCTCGCTCGCGCTCTTCCCGTGCTCTCTGCTCGCTCTCCCGCCGCGCTCGCTCAATCTGCTCTGTTCTCTTCTTGGAAAGTTTGGAGCCTTCCAGGGGCACAAAGTACAGATCTGTCCGGCAGCAGGAGTTATATCCTCGGTCCAAGTGTTTGTTAAACCTGCAGAGAAAAGCAGCGTCTTAATATTGTCCTTATAACTGAAACAGCACAGAGGAAAAACACAGATCTCTTTTATCAAATGATACAGGATTGATGAGTGAAATAAAGAGAGTCTATTGGAAGTCTACAGGGAGTCTATTGGGAGACAATGGGGAGACTATGGGAGTCTATAGGGGTAGTCTATTGGGAAGTCTATAAATGGAGTCTATTGGAAGTCTATAGGGAGTCTATTTGGAGACAATGGGAGTCTATAAGGGGAGTCTATTGGAAGTCTATAGGAAGTCTATTGGGAGACTATGGGAGTCTATAGGGGGGGTCTATATGGAGTCTATTGGGGGACTATAGGGGGAGTCTATTGGGAAGTCTATAAAGGGAGTCTATTGGAAGTCTATAGGGAGTCTATTTGGAGACAATAGGGAGACAATGGGAGTCTATACGGGGGGTCTATATGGAGTCTATTGGGAGACTGTAGGGTGTCTATTGGTAGTCTATTTGGAGTCTATAGTGGTTCTATATGTACCTTTTAGATTGTAAGCCCTCACGGGCAGGGCCCTCCTTACCATCTTGTCTTAAATTGTATTGTGACTGTAATGTCTTCCTTATATTGTAAACTATTGGCGCTATATAAATCCTGTATAATACTGTATAATAATAATAATAGTCTATTGGGAGTTAGTTGGGACTCTATAGGGATTCTTTATGGAGTCTATGGGGAGTCTGTTTGGAGTCTATTGGGAGACTGTAGGGAGTCTATAGGAATTCTATATGGAGTCTATTGGGAGTATGTTTGGAGTCTATTGGGAGACTGTAGGGAGTCTATAGGAATTCTATATGGAGTCAATTGGGAGACTGTAGGGAGTCTATAGGAATTCTATATGGAGTCAATTGGGAGACTGTAGCGAGTCTGTTTGGAGTCTATAGGTATTCTATATGGAGTCCATTGGGAGACTGTAGGGATTCTATTAGGAGTATATTGGGACTCTATAGGCAGCCAAGAGGAAGTCTATTGGAAGTTTATATGGAGACTAAAGGGAGTCTATTGGGAGTCTAATGGGAGTCTACAGGGAAAGTATAGGGAGTCTATTGGGACTCTATAGGCAGTCTATAGGGTTTATAAAGTACTTTGGATGAATACATATTGAAGCAGCAGTTTTCAGAGTTATACGATCAGAAAATAAATTTGTGAGGTGAGGGGAAATCTTTCCATGAGGACACAGACATGGGATTTACTGATCCCTATTTTATCACACACAAAAAAAGTTTTTGGCTGGAATTCTACTTCACCTATTGGAGCGTGGCTGAGCTGAGTTATAACTCTGATGCTGTTTGCACTGCACTACCAGCACTAGATGGCGTGGATGAGCATAGGAACCTTCTATGTTCCTTGGTGCCATTTAGTGGAACAGCATCCGCCCACCTATACATTGAGTGGGAGAGTTATAAATCAGCCCCTAAGAGCAAATAATGCCAGCCAACTAAAAGTACCGCATCTCTGAGACAGGAAATGAAGGGAAATCTTACCAGTGGGACACAGACATGGGTTATAACTAGGGATGCACCGATACCAGTTTTACGGTATAGAGTACAAGTATCCATATTTATCTTTCGTTACTCGCTGATACCGAGTACCAATACCTGTACTTCCGCTAGAATGAAGCCGGCTTCCCGGCCAATCAAGAAACCGGGCGGCGGGTAATGATTCCCTGATTGGCCGGGAAGCCGGCTCCATGCTGTTTGGCCAGGAAGCCACTTAGGGGCAGTGGAATGTCCCCTGGCGTCCTCACATCCTATACATGATGACTCACAGGACCTTAGACTGCTGCAGCGGAGGGGCAGCAGGGACCGGTGTAACAGTCAGACAGCTCCGAGGATCAGGCAGGTATAACTTTTTTTAATATTTGTCCAGTTAACCCTTGCAATGCCAGGGTAGGTCCACTGCAAGGGTTAAGAATAATTATGCCTGGAGTTCTTCTACACAATACATTAGGGCTCCTACACAATACATTCTGCTAGTAACAGAGGTTTTTCTGCTAGTAACAGAGGTTTTCACTATTATTTTGGCATTATATATACACAGTATATATCTCATGAAGACCACATATACAACTCCTGTTGCTGTATTACCTGGCAGACTGGCTGGCGTGACTTGGCGTGTCCACGAGTTTGGGTGGAGGAGAAGGGCTGTTGGGAGGTGGAACGGGGCTATCGCCTTCTGGTTCGCATTCCTCTGGTGGCTCCTGTTTTATCTGCACGGGAGCCGGTGCCGGTGGTGGAGGAGCAGGAGGTGGAGCCGGAGCTTGAGGAGGAGCCGTGACAGAAGTGGGAGGTGAAGAGTCTTTAAAGCTCTGGGTGGGAACTGGAGGAGGGGTGGAGACTGGAAATGATCCAGGTTTATAGGGGGGTGGGGGTGCATTTTTATAAGGTGGGGTTGGATGAGGGGGAGCTCCTTTGTAGCCTTGGTACGGGTAGTTACCATACCCTTGAGAATTTGTGGGGTAATGGCAGACTGAAGCAGATGAGTGAGGCTGATAAATGGAATGAGAAGACTGAGGATTTGGGGGCTCCACTTGAGAGGAGTAGCCTACACTTCCCCCCGCAGAGGACGACTGGGTTGGGAGATGCGAGGTACTGGAGGGAGCTGGTGATTGGCCTCCACTGGGCCCTGTCCCGGGTGTGGGCAACTGAGTGCTGCTCTGATGGTGTGAACTAGGGGACAGAAGAACATGGGGTTGGTGATGGCTGGGTTGAGGCGCACCCCCTGGTGGCTGGTTATTTTGTGGTGTTGGGGAGCGCCCCCTGTTTGGTAGAATGTGTGGATGATGGGAATTATTCATATTATGATTAGGAGGTTGACCTTGTCCACCAGTGGTCCCTCCATGAGGGTGCATAACACTACTCTGGGATGCTGGAGTCTGAATAGCCCCTGTTGTGGGCATTGGGTGTGGAGGGTGGTTATTATGTGGGGATGGAGCACGGGTACTTCCATGGTGAGAGTTACTAAAACCCCCACTAACATTTTGCCCCCCACCCACTTGTCCATTTTGGGGTGGAGGCTGAGGGTAGCGGGAAGCTCCTTCAATCCGTCCATAACTGAGCCCACCTTGTCCCCAAGAAGGGTGGGGACCGGGCTGCGGTTGTCCATACTTTCCCTGCGCGGGGTACTGATGCGGGTATCCAGACGGGTATTGTCCTGGGTAAGGGGGATATCGAAGTGTACAAGAAGACGAAGGAACAGGCTGGCCCTGTTTCTCTGGCGTTTGGGATGGAAGTCCGGGAGAGGCATTAAGAGGCCGCAGGGCAGGGGGTGGTGGAAGGTTGTGAGATACATGGGGATACGCGGCTGTTGTAGAAGTGCTGGTAGGTAGAGTAGCAGGGGCTGTGGGAGAAGCCAATGGCCTTGGAGAGCCAAGTCCAGCTATAGGTGTGGTGGGTGGAGGTTTGGCTTGGGAGACTGGTGCAGGCCCAACTTTGACCATCCCACTGGTGCTGGGATACAACTGTGGAAGTTGAGGAGCCTGGTAAGGTCTTGAAGCCTGTGGTTCAGTCTGTGGAGGTGGCTGAGAAGCCTGAGAGGGTGGTGGAAGGACAGGGGCATCAGAAAGCGGCGAAGCAGGCGGTTGGGGAGACCCAGGGCCCCTGTACAGGGAAGGAAACGATTTTGGCGAAGGAATGGAAGATGCATCGCTCTCGCTATCTCCACTATGCAGGCTCGGAGAAGTGCTGCGGTTGTCCTGGTCAATATCCCTTGGATCACTTCCACCATCTTCATTACCACTCTGTCCGTCCAAGCTTTCCTCATCAGGGGGTGGACGAGGAACCTCTGGAGACTGCAAGGAAATAAAACATTCATTACATATCACTAAAAGGATAAGCAGAGGAGACTGAAGTCAAGTTATTACCATGTCAGAATATACAAATACACTATATTGCCAAAAGTGTTGGGACGTTTATTTAGTAGCCAGGAAATGTCACGGAACACCTGAATCCAATGATTTGGAGGGGTGTCCCAATACTTTTGGCAATATAGTGTATCTTGAAATTGTTTTATTTCATTCATCTCTCCAGAACGTTCATACGGAATATCTGGCTTTGAGCGGCAGTGTGCCAATGGGCAATGATGATTTAAAGCGGAACCACAACCTCTTATTCTTTACAGCAGAGGAAGGTGCCATCTTAGTCTCTATTTGGATTGCAGTTGCCATGGGGCTGCACACGTGATCACCTATGACACCAGCCATTTGAGGGCTTCAAAGTGCGGTTAAGAACTCCAAAAAGCCCAATGGCAACCTAGACAGTTGGCATGCCTTGGAAGTAACTGTTTGGGAAGCCATTATGGTGGGTAAGGTTCTTCTTTAAGGTGCACCTAAAGACATTTCGGATGGAGCAGGGATGGGTTAGAAACCCTGTCCGTTTTTATCGCTGTCTGTGTCCCCTCTAAGGCCCCATTCACACTGAGCGATTTATCGAGCGATTTTTGCAGCGATATCGCTCATATTTCCACGCGATATCGCTCTATGTAGCTTCTCCAATCCATTTCAATGGAGCTGTTCACATCTCGTCGCTCAATATCGCTCAATATCGCTTGTAGCTCGTCGCTGGTAGCTTGTCGCTCCTACATGACCCTTTTTTCGAGCGATTTTGAGAGATATTGCTCCTGATTGCATACAGCCCAATAGGAAAAAGTTGCGCGATGTCGCGCGACAAGTCGCTCAATATCGCTCGCCGCGCAATATCGCTCGATTTTCATGTCCCAGTGTGAATGGGACCTAAGGAGGCTCACCCTCCACTCCACTCCACCTGTCACTCTAATAGGAACAGAGGGGAAATCCTCCAAAAAGGACACTTGTTCTGCCGACAACTGCTTAAAAGAGGGTTTCCCTTACTTTGGAGAGATCTCCTCTCACTTCCTGTTTTGCCTCGACACAGGAAGTAAAGAAAAATCTTCCCAACGATACACAAACATTGGGTAATACTACAGAGCAGGGGGTAAGCAAATTTTGGCCCTCAGGCTGTGGTGACACTACAAATCCCATCAATGCCTAGTGGGATTTGTAGTTTCACCACAGCTGGAGGGCTGAGCTTTAGCTACCCCTGCTCTACATCAGGGGTTGGCAACTGCCGGCCCTCCAGCTGTGCTTTAACTACAAATCCCAACATGCCACTGCCAATGGGAGTCATGCCTGTAATTGTCCATGTTGCAATGCCTCATGGAACTTGTAATTCCACAACAGCTGGAGGGCTGGAGTTGCCCACCCCTGCTCTAGAGTGTCACTGACAGCTGCTGACAGCTGCTGATATCACAACCAAGATTGTCTCTGGGCATCGGTGGACGGACACTGACCGTGCTGTCAGCGGCTCTGTCTGGCATCTCTTCCAGCTCACTGATGTCACTGGTTGTGCCACCACCAGGCCCCCTCAATGAGGTGCTGCTCCATTATAGGGGCAGCCCTGTCTCCAGTGGTTGGAGGTGTGATGGGTGAGGGTCGGGGAAAGGACCAAAAACGACTGCACAGGCGCGGCCCTGCATGCCCCAACAACAACTCTAGATGAAACGAGAATGCTCATGTGCCCAAGTCTGATGGCCTTGGCGTCTCTCACCTCCATCTTAGCTTTCTTCTGGGTTTTCCCTGCTTCCCCTTCGCTCTCCGAGGAATCTTTCACCCTTTCACGTTTGCTGCTCTTCGGGACAGAGTCTTCCATGCGACCCTTCTGTTTATAGGGAAAAAGGAAGATTAAATGTGGATGATCCCATATTTTTACCCCACAGAGCCACATCCCTGAATATAAACAACAAGGAAACGTAACCCATGGCAACCAGACCTAATTTCACTGTAGTAACGCTATCCGATTGGCACTATGGGCTTCCATACTTTGCCTTGCTGAAGAGGCCCAATAGCAGGGGCGGGCAATTCTGGCCCTTCAGCTGTAGTGGAACTACAAGTCCCATGAGGCATTGCAAGACTGACTGTTCCAGGCATGACTCCCAGAGGCAGAAGCATGTTGGGTTTTGTAGTTAAAGCACAGCTGGGGGCCGGAGTTGCCAACCTCTGCCTTAGGATCTGTCTGCATTGCCCATAGCAGCTGGATCCCCCTCCCATCTAATAATACAGGTTACAGGGGGAAGTGAAGAATCTGGTTGCTAGGGGCGACAGAAATGAATGAGGCCTTTATGTTGGTTTATCACCTTAGCAGGTGGCCGTCCCTTCTCACATTTGCTGTCGCTGCTGGATGTGCTGATCGCCCCGGGGGAAGCCCTGCCCCGCGCTCTCCTTTCCTCCCGTGGGCCCACGCTCTCCTTTTTCCTTCCGCTCCTCATCGACATCTTCATGGCGGCACAGACGGAGGAAAGAAAGGACAGTAAGAAATGGCTGTGAGCTGTATCAGGGTATTCATATTTTCACAGGACATATTATGATAACAGTCAATTCTTTTTCATTTACAATTCAGATCACGGCCTCCTGAGGGTGCCCACATAGTTCTGGCAAGGATCATTCTTCCCACTGCCCCCCTTCCCAAATGTATGGGGGCCCTACGCCGATCACCATTGAAATGGGCATTCTTCCCGCTGCCCCCCTTCCCCAATGTATGGGGGCCCTACACTGATCACCATTGAAATGGGCATTCTTCCCACTGCCCCCCTTCCCCAATGTATGGGGGCCCTACACTGATCGCCAATTAAATGGGCATTCTTCCCACTGGCCCTACACTGATCGTCATTGAAATGGGCATTCTTCACGCTGCCCCCCTTCCACAATGTATGGGGGCACTACGCTGATCGTCATTGAAATGGGCATTCTTCCCACTGCCCCCTTCCCCAATGTAAGGGGGCCCTGCCACTGATCGCCAATGAAATGGACATTCTTCCCACTGCCCCCCCTCCCCAATGTATGGGGGCCCTACACTGATCACCATTGAAATGGGCATTCTTCCCACTGCCCCCTTCCCCAATGTATGGGGGCCCTACGCTGATCGTCATTGAAATGGACATTCTTCCCACTGCCCCCTTTTCCCAATGTATGGGGGCCCTACGTTGATCGCTAATTGAAATGGTCCATTCTTCCCACTGCCCCCCTTCCCCAATGTATGGGGGTCCTATGCTGATCGCCATTAAAATGGGCATTCTTCCCACTGTCCCCTTTCCCCAATGTATGGGGGCCCTACGTTGATCGCTAATTGAAATGGTCCATTCTTCCCACTGCCCCCCTTCCCCAATGTATGGGGGTCCTATGCTGATCGCCAATGAAATGGGCATTCTTCCCACTGCCCCCCTTCCCCAATGTATGGGGGCCCTACGCCGATCACCATTGAAATGGGCATTCTTCCCGCTGCCCCCCTTCCCCAATGTATGGGGGCCCTACACTGATCACCATTGAAATGGGCATTCTTCCCGCTGCCCCCCTTCCCCAATGTATGGGGGCCCTACACTGATCGCCAATTAAATGGGCATTCTTCTCGCTGCCCCCCTTCCCCAATATATGGGGGCCCTACACTGATCGTCATTGAAATGGGCATTCTTCCAGCTGCCCCCCTTTCACAATGTATGGGGGTCCTACACTGATCGCCAATGAAATGGGCATTCTTCCCACTGCCCCCCTTCCCCAATGTATGGGGGCACTACGCTGATCGTCATTGAAATGGACATTCTTCCCACTGCCCCCTTTCCCCAATGTATGGGGGCCCTATGCTGATCGCCATTAAAATGGGCATTCTTCCCACTGTCCCCTTTCCCCAATGTATGGGGGCGCTACGTTAATCGCTAATTGAAATGGGCATTCTTCCCACTGCCCCCTTTCCCCAATGTATTGGGGCCCTACACTGATCGTCATTGAAATGGGCATTCTTCACGCTGCCCCCCTTCCACAATGTATGGGGGCACTACGCTGATCGTCATTGAAATGGACATTCTTCCCACTGCCCCCCTTCCCCAATGTATGGGGGCACTACGCTGATCGTCATTGAAATGGACATTCTTCCCACTGCCCCCCTTCCCCAATGTATGGGGGCACTACGCTGATCGTCATTGAAATGGACATTCTTCCCACTGCCCCCCTTCCCCAATGTATGGGGGCACTACGCTGATCGTCATTGAAATGGACATTCTTCCCACTGCCCCCCTTCCCCAATGTATGGGGGCACTACGCTGATCGTCATTGAAATGGACATTCTTCCCACTGCCCCCCTTCCCCAATGTATGGGGGCACTACGCTGATCGTCATTGAAATGGACATTCTTCCCACTGCCCCCCTTCCCCAATGTATGGGGGCACTACGCTGATCGTCATTGAAATGGACATTCTTCCCACTGCCCCCCTTCCCCAATGTATGGGGGCACTACGCTGATCGTCATTGAAATGGACATTCTTCCCACTGCCCCCCTTCCCCAATGTATGGGGGCACTACGCTGATCGTCATTGAAATGGACATTCTTCCCACTGCCCCCCTTCCCCAATGTATGGGGGCACTACGCTGATCGTCATTGAAATGGACATTCTTCCCACTGCCCCCCTTCCCCAATGTATGGGGGCACTACGCTGATCGTCATTGAAATGGACATTCTTCCCACTGCCCCCCTTCCCCAATGTATGGGGGCACTACGCTGATCGTCATTGAAATGGACATTCTTCCCACTGCCCCCCTTCCCCAATGTATGGGGGCACTACGCTGATCGTCATTGAAATGGACATTCTTCCCACTGCCCCCCTTCCCCAATGTATGGGGGCACTACGCTGATCGTCATTGAAATGGACATTCTTCCCACTGCCCCCCTTCCCCAATGTATGGGGGCACTACGCTGATCGTCATTGAAATGGACATTCTTCCCACTGCCCCCCTTCCCCAATGTATGGGGGCACTACGCTGATCGTCATTGAAATGGACATTCTTCCCACTGCCCCCCTTCCCCAATGTATGGGGGCACTACGCTGATCGTCATTGAAATGGACATTCTTCCCACTGCCCCCCTTCCCCAATGTATGGGGGCACTACGCTGATCGTCATTGAAATGGACATTCTTCCCACTGCCCCCCTTCCCCAATGTATGGGGGCACTACGCTGATCGTCATTGAAATGGACATTCTTCCCACTGCCCCCCTTCCCCAATGTATGGGGGCACTACGCTGATCGTCATTGAAATGGACATTCTTCCCACTGCCCCCCTTCCCCAATGTATGGGGGCACTACGCTGATCGTCATTGAAATGGACATTCTTCCCACTGCCCCCCTTCCCCAATGTATGGGGGCACTACGCTGATCGTCATTGAAATGGACATTCTTCCCACTGCCCCCCTTCCCCAATGTATGGGGGCACTACGCTGATCGTCATTGAAATGGACATTCTTCCCACTGCCCCCCTTCCCCAATGTATGGGGGCACTACGCTGATCGTCATTGAAATGGACATTCTTCCCACTGCCCCCCTTCCCCAATGTATGGGGGCACTACGCTGATCGTCATTGAAATGGACATTCTTCCCACTGCCCCCCTTCCCCAATGTATGGGGGCACTACGCTGATCGTCATTGAAATGGACATTCTTCCCACTGCCCCCCTTCCCCAATGTATGGGGGTCCTATGCTGACCGCCAATGAAATGGGCATTCTTCCCACTGCCCCCCTTCCCCAATGTATGGGGGGCCTACGTTGATCGCTAATTGAAATGGACATTCTTCCCACTGCCCCCCTTCCCCAATGTATGGGGGTCCTATGCTGACCGCCAATTAAATGGGCATTCTTCCCACTGCCCCCCTTCCCCAATGTATGGGGGCCCTATGCTGATCGCCATTAAAATGGGCATTCTTCCCACTGTCCCCTTTCCCGAATGTATGGGGGGCCTACGTTGATCGCTAATTGAAATGGGCATTCTTCCCACTGCCCCCCTTCCCCAATGTATTGGGGCCCTACACTGATCGCCAATGAAATGGGCATTCTTCCCACTGCCCGTCTTCCCCAATGTATGGGGGCCCTACACTGATCGCCAATGAAATGGGCATTGTTCCCCGTCTCCATTCCCCAATGTATGGGAGCCCCACGCTGATCATCATTGAAATGGGCATTCTTCCCACTGACCCCCTTCCCCAATGTATGGGGGCCCTATGCTGATGGCCAATTAAATGGGCATTCTTCCCACTGCCCCCCTTTCCCCAATGTATGGGGGCCCTATGCTGTGTTGGATTGTCAGCTTTCCAAGCAAGGTCCACCTAGAAGTTGCAATTAGCTCCTCCCCCCTAGAAAAATGAGTCACTGGAAAGTATGGCGGAGGGTGGAAGCACTCACCGAGTCTTTGTTCTGTCGGGTTTTCATATTGTAGGGTGGAGAGGCCCCATTTCTTCTACGGGATCAGATAACGTGAACTGCCCCACAGAACCACACCCCACCGGCCAGGCTGATCGAGGGAAGGGATGTGGGTGGGGGGTGGGACAAATATCCGGTCAGGAAAGGCCTACCTGATGAGAGAAAGAAATATATGTTATTCTCAGGCCAGGCCAATCTACAATATACACACTTGCATTTCTGTCCATCCCGTCCTAAGATCTGCACAGCTCTGTCACACAGCACAGAAAGATTGGTAACCTTCCTTTTTCCTAAAGCAGTTAAGTTGTATTTTTTGAAGGTTCTGATGAGTATTTTTTTTTAATGAACATTAGTCCGGAATCTCCCAATGTATGGCTGGCTTTACATTCGCCATGGACGAAGCGGCAGTGACCACTCGGGGCTCTTGACGCGAGATCTGACAACGTATGATCCGGTTACTGAACGCGGTGTCATAGCGGCGTGATGTGAAAATGTCACATGCTGATTTTTTTTTAATTTTTCTCAGCTGTTAAGGGCGTTAAGTCCCAATTCACACCACTGCTATCTGTGAACGCACGAAAAACCCGTGCGCTTTGCCATTGCGTTCACAGAATGCATGCTAAACATGTAACGCACTTGTGGTGACATTACTAGTCCATGGCACTCCACGTTCGGCCGAGAAAACACGTAACGCATGTATCAGGGTCGCTGTACACCTAGGCGACACCCCACCGCACGGCAATCGTGCACGATTCCGCGCGGATTGCAGTGCGGTCAAGGGTCGCCCAGATGTCCACCGATCGCGCAGTGGGTGCCATTATTTTCAAGTACCTTTTTTTGCGATACACGACGCGCGGCTGTTTTAGGCCCGCGATCCGGCGTGCCTGGGGTGCCATTGGAAAATAATGGCACCCACAGTGTGACCGGTGCAAACCGGGGCGACACCTGACCGCGTGGCAATCCGCGAGGAATCGTGCACAATTGCCACGTGGTGGGCTGTCGCCCAGGTGTGCGCCGGCCCTCAGCTTGTACTACATGAGCGAATTTTCCCGCATTTGGCGCATGTGCGGCCTCCCATTGAAATCAACGAGGACGCGTGCCAAATGCAGGGAACAATTGCCTGCGAATGCACGTGATGGTGTGAACGGGGACGGAATGTCCCTAACATAAATGATGACGTCCCTGTTCACACCATGGTGCAGCACGAACGCAATTGGCATGCGTCCCCATTGCTTTCAGTATGTGACTCAACCGCACCAAACACGGGAATGTAGCGAAACCGGCTTCATGCATTCCGCGTTCTTTTTCCTGCACGTTTGTCCCGGCTGCGTTTGGGGTGCCATCAATTACCGTGTTGGCTCAAAAAAACACACTAGGTCTTATTTTCGGGGTAGGTCTTATTTTTTTAACATTTTTTTTAATGTACAACAATCCACACTTATTTATGTCCAAAAATGTGGTGATCAGGGCAATCAGGGGTGCCGTACCTTTCCAAGAGCAATTTGCTAACCAATCGCTGGCCAGAATGAGCAAAGCGCACTTTCACTATCGATTCTTTACAGGCGGAGTGCATTTGGTATCACTCCGCCTGTGACAGGAGCCGGCGCTATAGAGGAAGCATCGGCTTATGCGGCTCTGCTCCCTCCGCTGCCGCCTCGCTTCCTCTAGCGCCTTCTTCATGGGCAACGATGATTCTCTCCCGCGGCTCTTCGACGTTCCCCCTTATGCCACCACCGGCCCTGGGAATGGACACAACTAGGTCTTTTTTTCGGGGTAGGTCTTATTTTTGGGGAAACAGGGTAGTAATGCAAGTGTGTTGCATGTTTTGAACGCGTTTTGCGAATGCGCAGCAAAGCATTTGACGTGCGTTTGCAGAAGGCGATGGTGTGAACAAGGACTAAGACGCACACAGCTGGGAAACCCAACAGATCGGTTACTTTGTAACAATTTAACACGTTTCTTTTGAGATCCTTGGATTGGTGCTGCCCTATACTGTGCCCCCCCCACAGGGATACATTGTACACAGCACATCCCCCTCCTCTCTGTACTCACAAGCCTTCTGGTCACCTCCTGCTGTTACCTGAACCTGAGCTCTGTGTCATGTGACTGCTCAGGGGGGCGGGACTTAGCAGCAGTTTCATCTATGCGTCAGTGTAGAAGTCATGTGACCTCCTTACCTACATCTGCACAGTTCACATGCCACTGGTTCATTCATGAATGCAGAACAAGGTAGATGAAAATGCAACATGGTGTCCGGAGTGATGCACCGGTCAGGGATGGTGCGCATGCTTGCACTTGTAGTTCCATGGCGGCTGATTAATCACGTTTTCCCCTATATCGTCCTATGTGTAGCCAGAGTGACTTTGAGTATTTTTTTTTTTTTGACCCCCCGCCTGTACCTTAAGTCCCCGTTCACACCTGCATGTTCCGTGAGTATGCGCAAAACGGGCACGCGGAACGCGTCAAGAACGTGCAACGCGCTTATAGTACCATGCGTTTTCCTGTGCATGGATGCACATTAAACACACACAAACGCGTGGTGAAAAAAAGTAGTACGCCTGTAGCAGAATCTACACATGTGCTACTTTCCCGCATTTGACGCGCATGCGGCACCCGCTGAGTTCTTCTTTGCCTTCCGTGAACCATTCACACCTTCGCATTCCACAGACGCACGTTGTGGTCGCTTGCGTTCTTGTGTATTTTTTTTCAGTGTTTGCCGCGTGTCGTCTATTGATTTCAATGGGTTCCACTCGTGCAACATGCGCAGGAAAGTAGCTCGTGTAGCAGATTCTGGCGTACAGGCGTACCACCATTTTTCACCACGCCTACACAAAGCAAACGCGGGAGGAAGCATGCGTGTTCCTGGCCATGTTTGGGTTGCTTCTAACAAGTAATGGGACTGCAATCGTGCTGCATGTGTATGGCGCCTTTCGTGAACGCGGGTCAATGTGCACACTTTGAGCACGTTCACAGAACACAAAGATGTGAACTGGGACCCTAATCACTAGGCAACATGTAGCGAGTGCTGGGAAAAAATGCTGCAAACGCACGGTGCATTCACGGAAGGTGTAAACGGGGACTTTCCCGCAACGTGACGTGTTAACGAATGCGTATTAAAGTGCGTTATATATCGCGAGTTATGCGTGATGCATTCAGGCAGACCATTTAAATGAATGGTCTGCCAATGCGCCAGAACGGACAGAAAAGAAAGAAAACGGACACGCGCTATTTTATTCCGACGCAGTTCACCACAATGCAAGGTCGTGCACTGCGCCAGAGGAGCTTCAGGTTGATGTGTTGTCGTGCCATTGACAATAAATTACATTGCAATGCGTTAAGGCATGCATGACGCTATAATGTGCATTGCAGCACTGGAAAGGTGTAAAAAGGCCGTCAGGCTCCAATCACACATAGCGCAAAACCGCGTGGAACGAAACTACGCAAACGGTTCCCGCGCGTTTGCAGCTATTACTATAGCCGGAACATGCAGCATCCGCCGATAAAATCGCGCTTGGACTGTTTTGCGGGACACGCGGTTTTGTTCTGCATAGCCGTCGCAATAATCTGAACAATGCACATTGCAATATATTGTTTTTTATGTTTAGCGCGGTTCCTGGTCCCAGAAGAAATAAGAAAAGTGTCCTCCTGAATCCCCCTGGGGTGAAGAAGAAGTATAAAGTAGACGCGGAGTTCACGTACAATGTATGGTGTTGGGGGAGATTTGTCAGAAAATGTCCGTCTATAGGATATGGCGGAATAAAAACTGCGCTGACCACGTCTTGTTTCAGGCACTGGGTAGATGCTGAGAAAAGAATGGAAAAGACCGTTCTAGCGTTCTTCTACAGCGTACAGGTAATGATCCATCCAAAAATACTCAACGGGCCACACTGGTGACACTTCCATACTGCCCTGTGCATATACCAACCTGTGCCCGTACACCTCCATACTGCCCTGTGCATATACCAACCTGTGCCCGTACACCTCCATACTGCCCTGTGCATATACCAACCTGTGCCCGTAAACCTCCATACTGCCCTGTGCATATACCAACCTGTGCACATACACCTCCATACATGTGGTATATATACTGTATGTATATCCATAGTGTCTGGCACTCATGCTCTGCTATGCTGCCCCATGCGCGTACACCTCCATACTGCCCTGTGCCCGTACACCTCCGTACTGCCCTGTGCCCATACACCTCCATACTGCCCTGTGCCCATAAACTTCCATACTGCCCTGTGCCCGTACACCTCCATACTTCCCTGTGCCCGTACACCTCCGTACTGCCCTGGGCCCATACACCTCCATACTGCCCTGTGCCCATACACCTCCATACTGCCCTTTGCCCATACACCACCGTACTGCCCTGTGCCCATACACCTCCATACTGCCCTGTGGCAATACTGCCCTGTGCCCACACACCTCCATACTGCCCTGTGCCCATACACCTCCATACTGTCCTGTGCCCATACACTTCCATACTGCCCTGTGCCCATACACCTCCATACTGCCCTGTGCCCATACACCTCCATACTGCCCTGTGCCCATACACCTCCATACTGCCCTGATCTTTCCTGAGCTTGTGCACCTACATAATGCCCTGTACCCATGCCCATACACTTCCACACTGTCCTTTACCTATTCACCTCCATACTGCCCTGTGCCCATGTATCTACATACTCTCCTGTGCCCATACACTTTTATAATCACCTGTACCCACATATCTTTATATTGTCCTATACCCATACACCTCCATACTGCCCTGTGCCCATACACCTCCATACTGCCCTGTGCCCATACACCTCCATACTGCCCTGTGCCCATACACCTCCATACTGCCCTGTGCCCATACACCTCCATACTGCCCTGTGCCCATACACCTCCATACTGCCCTGTGCCCATACACCTCCATACTGCCCTGTGCCCATACACCTCCGTACTGCCCTGTGCCCGAACACCTCCATACTGCCCTGACCTTTCCTGAGCTTGTGCATCTACATAATGCCCTGTACCCATGCCCATACACTTCCACACTGTCCTTTACCTATTCACCTCCATACTGCCCTGTGCCCATGTATCTACATACTCTCCTGTGCCCATACACTTTTATAATCACCTGTACCCACATATCTTTATATTGTCCTATACCCATAC